CCTGAGTCCAGTGCGCAGGGGCCGAGTCACCCTCCTACAGGGCCAGACGTGGCACGGGCTGGCCTCCTGGGGCCAACTGGGCACAACCAGCCTCCCTCTGCCACCCCTGCGGCAGTGCCTCGCTGCAAGTGGCTTGGCGAGTCCGGGTTCCTGCTGCCTGGGCGGGACAGAGCAGCCCGCCTGGCTCCCTGCAGAGGCACCAGAGCTTCGACCATTTTTGCGGCCACAGGGGTGGGGGGATGCGGGCGTGGGGGGAGCCTGTAGGGAGGACCAACCTTGGAAACTGGATCCTTTCCCAAGAGAGGCAAAGCTTCCTTGTGTCGATAAATCACTCCCTGACGTCTCCTAGGTGGGAGTCAAACATGTACCAGGGATGGGAGTCTCGCTCAGGCCGGCATGGGGGGGCGTGTGAGAGGGAAAGAGGGAACAGGAGACTCTTCTACCCCCAGAATACTCTCACCCCTACTGTTCAAAAAGTCTGAATTTTTGAGGTTACCTTTACATACTGTGCAGAAAGGTCACCCTCTCATGTGCACTTCTGTGAGTTTGGACTCCTACCAGCCCAGGAGGATTCCAACATGCCCCAAAAGTCCTGCTCCGCTCTGGGGTTACCCCTCCCCCCACCCCTGGCACCCCGGGCTGGGCTGCTCGCTGTCCCCTCTGCCGTCGGATGCCCGCTCGCTCTCCTGCTCCCCGCGCACTCCCCACTCCCTGCTGTTGGGGTGTTTGTAGAGGGCGCCTTCTTGTTGCTCAGCAGCACCCCCCTGTACGGCTGTACCTCGCTTAGCCTTGCCCAGATGAGGCACTACGGCGGCGCCGGTGCCCTCTTCAGTTGGGGCAGGGATGAGTAGGCCTGCGGGGGTGTCCCAGCAACCCCGGCGCTGAGTGAGACTCGGCTCACGGCAGCTGTTCCCTCCTGGTGCGGACAGCAGAGACCCATCTGCTGAGGAGCCGTGGCCAAAGAGTTTGGGGTGAAGATGTCCTGTACCCATGGAACTACGGGCCTGGGGGGGGGGGAGTAGGACAGAGGGAGGGAGGGAATGAATCAGGGCCTTTGAAGTGGAGCAGAGACTGATTTCCCGCCGAGCGAGGAGACTTGAGTCTCCGCCTCCCCGCCCATCCCGGCAGGCAGCGTGTGGGCCTCGACGCCAGACTCCCCCTGGCAGGGGGTCCTGCCCTTTCCAGGGGAAAGGCCCCTCCCTGTGGAGGTGGGCGAGGTTGGCAGGCTGCTGGGGTTCGCCCTGCACCCCTGTGAGCGCCTTCCTGCTCCCCTGACCTGGTGCTGGTGGTTCTTTTTCATTCAGCCCCTGGTTTCCCTCAGCCCCGCACCCCCCCCCCCCAGGGCCTGCAAGGAGGCAGACTTTAAAGGCCCTTCTGATCAAACAGACAGAGGTGACCGGTGACCGTGAGGGCCGTGGCGCTAGCCGCAGTGAGAGGAATGCCGGGAACTGGCAGTCTTTGCTCCCCGGGGTCGGGGCGCAGTGAACGCCCTGGGACAGAAATCGGTGGGCTTGACCCCTGGATGCTCGGCGGCCCCCCTTTTCCTCTGACTGCCGTTGCGAGAACCAGTGATCCCCAACATTAACACTGTCTCCCACTAACAAGGGGTGAGAGGAGCGCCCCTCTCTGCCGGGCGGCTGCTGGGAGGTGCCCTGGCTCTCCGAGGACAAGGAGGAAGGGCCTTGGCAGGAGAAGGACCGCAGGGGCCACCCGGCGCTTCCCCTTTCGCTCCTGGCTTCTGGCTTCCTCGACACTTTCCTGTCTCCGGCTGGGCCACACCGGGGCTCGGCGCCTGCCTGGGCGTCTTCTCCAGCTTGAGGTCACCTCGGGCTCACTCTTGTTGGGGGGGGGGCTGGCCGCTGCCAGCACTGCAGCCCCGGGCCGCCTCATCACCTCAGCCCTCCCGGGCGGCCCGGCGGCCTCCCCGCCACGTTGACCTTGTCCCTGTCCTCGGGCTGGCCCAGCCCTGCCCTCCAGATCTCCTGTCCGCTTTCTCCTCCCCTCGTCCTGGCCACCTGACTTCGCACTCCCCTTCCGGCTCTGGGCCTGCATCCCTCTGCTGCCCGTCTCCCTCTCCGCCCTCCGCCCTCCTGCCTCTCCCTTCCCGCGCCCTGGAGAGCTACAGATCTGCCCCCTCCCTGCCCGCACCCCTTTTGGACGGCGTGAGCTTCCCCGCCGTGTTCTCTCCTCGTCCCACGCTGACCCCCAGGGGCCCGGCTGTTGCTGGGCACTCCAGGGGAGCAAGGGAGCAAGGGAGGACCCCCTTCACCCCCTGCTCAGCCTGCTCTCACCCCCCTTCCTCTCCAGTCTGCTCTCCGGCCTGTCTGCCGGCCTGTTTCCCGCCGTTCCCCTCCCTTCTCTGGTTTCTGTCTCTCCCCCTGGGCCCCCACCCAACTTTTTCCTCTCTCTGGGCTCCGACAAGGTCCTTCTGTCCTTCCTGGATGGATGGGTCTGGGCTCTCCCTGCTGGGGAGACCAGGAAGCCCCAGGCCTTGCCCACTGAGCGTTACTGCCTCGGCACCGAACCGACTGCCTGGCTGAGTTCAGCTTCCAAAGTCCTGACTTTGCGCCTGGAAATCCTTCTTCCTGCGGCCTCCAGGGCCAGCGGCTCGCGCTTTCCTCTGGCCGCCCGGATTTGCAGTTGGTGCGGGTGGGACTGAGTGTGCAGATAAACGCTCCATTCGACCCAGACTGGGCCCCTTTCTTGCCTTCTGGCCTGGGCATCAGTGTCTGAGAAGCGGTGGGACTCTGGGCACCTACTGCATGCCCCGGGGACATGTTCCCCTTGAGTGTCCCAGGCTCTGTCTCCCGGCAGCCCTGCTATCAACAGCCCTTTTTGTAATTTTAATCATTCACCGTTTATTGAGCATCTGCTGGGAGCCAGCCTTGCTCACGGCCCTCCTTGGTCATCCTCTGCCCGGTGTGTGCAGGGAGGGTGTGGAGAGCCAGTCACAGGTAAACGGATTTCAAACTCCAGGGAGCATAGGCAGCGCCTGGGAATAAGCAAGTGGACCTTGTCTCTGTTCCTAGACTCCCTGCTTGGGGAGGGAGAGGACCTGGGGCAGCTTCCGGAGGAGAAGGGCAGGGAGTGGTGGTGGGGGACGCTCAGAGTCTGCCAGCCTCCAGGGCGGGCGCCTGGGCAGAGGGCACCCCAAGGCCCAGAAGTCCTGCTGGTTGTCATTTTCAGGACCCGGGATGAGGCGCAGGCAGGGGGCGGGGCTGGAGGGGAGAGGGCGCAGCGGGGTGGAGCTGGCAGGGGTGGTGGCTGCCGCATGGCCCTGCCGGCACCGGCACCGGCTTCAGTCCTGGCCTGGCGGCTGGGCCGGGCAGCACCTCCCCACGCAGACAGCCTGGGCATCGCTGCTGGCCCCAGGAGAGTCTCGGGTCCTCTTTGCTGTCCTTCCCCTTCACACCGGCTCTTAGATGATAAGATTCAAGTTGTTTGATTTTAAATTGGTTTCATTTTTCAATGTCAGATGTGCACATTAGAGGAAATGCAGAAATATTTGGAATATCTGAAAAGCAGAACGGCGGTTTTCAAGGGTTTGGTTGTAGACACTTGACACTGCGGGGGGGCGGGGGGGCACAGCGATCTGCAGTCGGGGCTGGGTCCTCGGCCTGGTGTCCGCGAGGAGCAGGCGTCAGACGCCCCACGGCTCTCGCGTCCCCGTTGGCGCCCCTCGCGCCTGCCGCCCGCTTGGCGACGCGGTCCTTTCCTCGGGAGAAAACGGGACCTTGCGCGTACGGGCGATCCCGAAGTAACTGGATGGGCGGGCGGGCGCCGCACCCCCGCCCCGGGGAGAGCCGGCCCGCGCGGAGGTCTGGGCGGCCGAGGTCTGGCCCGCGTATTTGTAAAAAGCGGGCCCGAGGCGGCGCGCCCGGCCCGGCGGTCGGCCGGGGAGGCTGGGGGAGGCTGGGGGCGCTCTCCCGGGCGAGCTCGGTTCCTGGCGGGAGGGGCGGGCGGCGGGGAGACCCCCGCCCCCCAGGAGTGCCGGGCGTTGCCGCCCTCGGGCCCGGAGCGGGCGTCCTCGGGTCTGCAGCCGGATTCGTTCCCGGCGCCCCAGCCGGCGCCCTCGCAGCGGCCGGGCCCTGCGCGCTGCGGCCGGGGGTGGAGGGGGGTCCCGGCGCTGCCTGGCGTCGCCGAGGGGGAGACGGTGCGGGGCCCGGCCCGCGCGGGGAGGGGCGTCGGGGCTGCGGGGAGGCGGCCGGGGTTCGCTGCGCGCGGGCCGGGGAAGCCGTCCCCAGCGCGGGCCGCGAGCCGGCCGGGCAGCCTCCCCCGCAGCAAGCGGTGCGCGGGGCGGGCGGGGCTCCTGCGGGCCCTCTCGCGCGCGGGGGCGCCGGGGGGCCTTGCTGCCGATTAGACGTTGGGGATCCAGGTTTTTCTTTCAGATGCCATTCTTTCCCGGGCACCCCGCAATGCCCAAGGGTCTCCGCAGCCCCAACTGGAGACGGTGGCTTTCGAGGTTGCACCTGGTTTAAAGGAAGCGGCGCCGGGGTACACGCGGAAATCCTGGGGAGCCGGTGGGGAGACTGAATTTCATCGTTTATTATCCACCCCCCAATTGTGCAGCTTACAGCTGTGTCTCCTGTCTGGACCGCGCGGGCCCTGGTCCCTAAAGAGGCGAGGAAAGGCAGTGTCTGGGCCCCGGGAGCGCTTTCCCGAGGACAGGGGCCCCTCCAGTGATTCTCACTTGTCTAGAATCTCCGCCCGATTCTCCACTAGATCCGGGCCTCAGGAAAACGAGGCTCGCGCAGCGGCAAAACGCCCGGTGACTCCGGGAGAGAAAAGCCGCCCACCCCCAGGCCGGCGGGGGACAGCTCCTTAAGGAGCGGGGAGCCCAGACCTCGAGACCCCCGCCCCCCACCTTCCCTGCGCCTCGGGGCGAGGGAGAGGCCTGGGAACCCGGCGGCCCGATAAACCTCCATCGGCTGCCCAGCGAGGCCTTGAAATGCTCCGGGTTCCTGGCAACCGCGATTGCCCCGGCAGGGAGGGGGCGAGCTATGGAGGGGAAAAGGGGCACCCCCCAAAGAGCAGACCGCTTGCCAATCGCCCTCCGCGCCGAGAGCCCACGGGGAGAAGGTTGGGGCGCTGAGTCCTGAAAAAAAGCCACAGGAAACAGACACAAAAGTCTCGGCCCTCGGAGCCTTTCTAGAAGTAAGGAGCTTCCACAGGCTCCCAGGCCTGAGCCCCCCAGGAGAGTCAGCCCCCCAAGAGAGTCAGCCCCCCAGGAAGTCAGCCCCCCAAGAGAGTCAGCGCCCCAGCAGAGTCAGCCCCCCAGGAGAGTCAGCGCCCCAGGAGAGTCAGCGCCCCAGGAAGCCAGCCCCCCAAGAGAGTCAGCGCCCCAGGAGGGTCAGCGCCCCAGGAGGGTCAGTGCCCCAGGAGAGTCAGCGCCCCAGGAAGCCAGCCCCCCAAGAGAGTCAGCGCCCCAGGAGAGTCAGCGCCCCAGGAGGGTCAGCGCCCCAGGAGAGTCAGCGCCCCAGGAGAGTCAGCGCCCCAGGAGAGTCAGCGCCCCAGGAAGCCAGCCCCCCAAGAGAGTCAGCGCCCCAGGAGAGTCAGCGCCCCAGGAGGGTCAGCGCCCCAGGAGAGTCAGCGCCCCAGGAGAGTCAGCGCCCCAGGAGAGTCAGCGCCCCAGGAGAGTCAGCGCCCCAGGAAGCCAGCCCCCCAAGAGAGTCAGCGCCCCAGGAGAGTCAGCGCCCCAGGAGAGTGCCGGCAGAGCCGCGGGGAGAGGAGCTGGGTTGCTGGCCTGGCTAGGAATAGCCTCCCCCGCAAGGCCCGGGCTTCCTCGCCGCCCGGGCAGAAGCAGGCCCCGCGCGCCCCCAGCGAACGCCCAGAGCCGACCTGTTGCTGCCTCACCTCAGGGCAGAGGAGGAGAGGGAAGTTCCCCGAGGCCGGGGCGGGGTGGGGGGGGGAGTGCGGGGGTGCGGGGGGCGGGCGGGCACCTCCAAGGCCCGGCTACTGGGAACCCAGCGCGCGCTTTGACGCTGCCGCCCCCCCCCCCGCGCTGCTGGAAGAACCGGGGGGCGGGGGGGTGGGGGGAAGCGGCCTGTGTCCTCGGCCTTCGAGGACGCTCGAGAGCCGCCCCTCCAAGCGCTGAGCCTCAGGCCTCGGGCTTCTTTCTAAAATAACCCACTGCCCGGCCCTCCGGCTCAGCCCCTGGACTCCCCGAGGGGCGCGCGCGGGGGGCGCAGCTCTGAGGCTTCGGGCGTGGCTGGAGCCACGACCGTCCGCGCGCGAGCGGCAGCTCCTGCTCGTCCCGGCCCGGGTCGCCAGCCCTGCAGGAGGCCGAGGCGGGCCCTCGGCACGGACCTTTGGCTCCAGGCCCCTCGCTCACCCTAACTCAGGACGCTTCAGGCCGCAGGGAGGTCGCCTTCGCCGCGTTACGGAGCGCGCAGGCCCGCGTGGCCACCCGACCCGGCCGGCGCCCAGGCCCAGTCCCCGGCACCCCAGGACCCCTCGCTCTTAAATTCCCACGACTCAGATTTGCGGTGCCAAATTCCACACTGGCCCGGCGCGAGCTGGGGGAGCCTCACCGCGCAGCCTCCCCGGGGCGCGTCCCGGAGTCGGGGCGGCCTAAGGCCCCGCGCCCCGCACCTCCAGCTCGGGGGCGAGGATCCCCGCGCAGCCGCGCTCGGCCCTTCCTCCGGGATTTTCCTGAGAATCCCCACGAGTTGGCCACGATCCCTTTGGGGGTTTCCTTTCGCTCAGCGCCCGCGTCGCCCTCGCTGTAACCGGGAACCCGCGACCCATTTCCAGCGGCGGAAGCGGGTGTCGGCGCGGCCCTTTCTCCGGAGCCGCGCGGGTTTCGTGCAGGGAGGCATCTCCCCCCCCCCGCACCCCGCTAATCTGGAGTGACCAGCCTGAGCGAGCGAGAGAGAGAGAGAGACTGAGACTTAAAAAAAACCGTCTCCACGAGAGCCGAGCGCGGCCGCCGGCTGTTATCTGCGCCGAGGCTGCAGGAATCGATGGGCTATTTTTGCGCGGTAATCGGGCCCTGCGATTGCTCTATTAACCTTTAGACCTGTCTGGGGGCTCGGGCTGGGCTCGCAGCCCGCTCCCTTGGGGCCCAGGCCCCGACGCCTTCTCCGAGCGGGGCCGCCGCCCCTGCACCCCCAGGCCGGAGGGGGCCGAGGCCTGGGGAAAAGCCCCGCCGGCCGCGAGCGCCGGGGCCGCAGCTCCGCGGGCTGCAGGGCGAGGTGGTGGCGGAGCGGGCGGGGCGCGGCAGGTGGGGGGTCTGCTGGGGGGCACGTTTTGTATAAACATGAAAAACTGGGGGCCGGAGCCGCCGCGTGGCCTTCTTCCCCGGCGGCTTGGAGGGAGGGGTCGGTCTCCGAGCGCAGATTTGAGGGGTCCAGTCCGGGGCTTCTTCGGCCGCACCGTCGCGGAGTCCGAGGCCAGGAGGATCCCCACGGTTACCGGCCGGGCACCCCGGGGACCCAGCGCCCCACACGCGATCGGGGGTCGCGCCCGAGGTCCCTTCCTTCCTGTCAGCCCCGCCCCTGGCCCCCGGCGGGGCCGGACCCGGACCGGAGTTGGGGGCGGGGGATCGGGGGGCGGGGGGCGGCCCTCCGCCGGGGGCGGGGGGCCTGGGCAGCGCCGCGGCCCGCCGCGCGCGGGGCGGTGGCCGAGCCCGCGGCCGGCGGAGCAGCCCGGCTTTTTCCGCGGAGATCCCGGCGCCTGGACTTTGGCTGCTGGGAGGTTTTGAACAGCCCCGCAGCCGGCGCCCCGCGGAGGTGCAGCCCCGGCGGCGCACCCCCGCCCCCGCCGGCACGTGACTCCCGCAGCCAGTCAGCGCGGCCGGGGCGCGGGGCGAGGGGCCGGCGCCGCGGCCAGGCTGGACGCGGCGGGCGCGGAGGCTGGAGAGGCGCCGCCGCAGCTGGGGGCGGCCGGGAGGCTCGAGGCCGGGAGGCCCGGTTCGGTTCTTCCTTCCCGCGCGGCCCCGCGGCCCCGCTCTGCGCCTGCGGCGAGGAGACGCAGCCGGTGAGTGGGGAGCGGACGCGGTCACCCCACGTCCCCCGATGGGCAGAGCCCGCCCCGCTCGCGGCTCAGCCCCGGCCGCGCCTTCCCACCCGCGGGGAGCGGCGCGGAGCAGGGTTCCCGGCGCGCGGGGCGGCCTTCGTGCGAGCCCGGCGGATTCCGCCGTCTCCCCGTGCGCTCTCCGCCGCGGGTTTGCGCCTCGCAGGCCTGGCCTGCCCGGGCGTGTGGCCGGGTGGAATCGCCCCAGCCGGCTGCCCGGGCCAGGCCCAGGGCCGCTCGCACTCGGAGGGACGCGGCCGGAGCCGAGACCCCTTTGGCGGCTCCCGGGGCGCCGAGTGGCCGCGGGGGGCAGCGCGGCAGGGCCTGCGCCCCGGGGAGGCTCGGAAGTCGGGACAGAGGCCGAGCGGCCCGATTTCCCAGCCAGCCCCTCGCCCTGTGAACAGGGGTTCGGGCAGCGACAGCCCCTGGCGAAGCTAGCGAAGCCACCCGCCCACCCTGCTGCGGGGTCCAGCGGGCTGACCCCGGAACGCAGGCGGAGGGCAGCGGCCACCGCGGTCGGGTCGGCCTGCGGGGCCGCGATACTTTGTCTCGGCTTTCACCCGGGGTCCCCCAGGGGAGAGCGAGGTGCCGGGCTGGGGAACTGCTACCCCGCCGGGGCCGGGGATGGGGATCTTTCGGGTGGGAAGGGGTGGCCTTTGGGCGACCCGGGCCGGCGCCCCAGCCCGGCCGCCGCAGGGTCGGGAGCGCATTTCCTGTGCCGCGGGAAAGAGCCGGCGGCCTAGCGCGGGTTTCGGCTCTTCAGGGGAGAAAGGCTGCCCTGAGGGGCCGGGGGTGCGCCCACCGGTGGTGCTCCCACTCTTGTGGGCCTCCGGGTCCCCGACAGCGGCCGGCTGCTTTTTTGCCACCCGTGTGAGCGGCGCGTGCGCCCCTTTTTTGCGCTGCAGGCGGAGATCGCAGGCCGCGGCCCGGCGCGCAGCCAGAGCAAGGATCGGTGCATGGACGGGAGCTGCGGGGCTCCGGGCTTCCCTGCCCGCAGAGGGTTTCGCAAAGGGCCGTAGGCTTAGTCTTGAAGAAAGAAAACACCTCCTGTCCTGAATTTGAGGTGAACTGGGGTGAGCGAGCGGGAGGAAAGGGAAGACCGTGTCTCAGACCTGGGCCCCGAGGCCTGGCCCAGCCTCAGTCACAGAAATAACGACTCATTTTAAGGGTCTTCCCAGAAAGGTGTAGCGGGAAAGCATCTCTTTGTTCAGGAATCCAGCTCCCAGATAATGTATCAGCCACTGGAAAAGGCAGAGCATGTAAGAAAGACGAATGTCAGCTCTACAGGATTTTTAGCGTTGCATTTTAAAGCTTGTGAGTTAGCGTCTGTATCTATACTGGACGTTGAATTACAGAATTATAAGTTCTCGTTATAATTACAGTTACATTTTTAGAATTGTAGGTGCTGAGTATTACCAAAAAATACAATAAAATCGGTCAACTATACATTTCATGTAAAAATTAAATACTGCACATCTTAGCAAAGTAAACCCATGGACTTGCTTATTGAAGCCCAGAGATGCCTATGTGTTAATTTTTGGTCTTGATTTTCAAAGAGGAAAGCTGGTGATAACAGATCTTTTTTGGGGGGGGTTGGCTAAGAGAGACCGAATCCAACCTCTCACCAAACTTCCTACTGGAAGTGTCCACAACACCAGTAATATACTGTATATTTTTTAAAGCAAATAATAAACCACTTAGAAGTTACCGTGTGACGATCACAGGGCTATGAATCCCATTTTATTAGTGATGTTGCAAAAATAGTTGAAAGCATTAGTGTGTATTAGAGATTTCATTTCTAGAATTTTTTTACAATAATAAAGATGAACATTTATTATAGTACATGTTACATCGGAGGAACTTTCTTATGGCACATTAGAAATCTGTAGTAATGACAATAATAATAGTAAACAGTCTTGTGGAACCTTTTTTGTGCCCATTCTGAGTTGTTGGGTTTTTTTTAATGCATACAAGAACAGGGGTGTAGGCCAGAGGTGTGGAGTGGGAGAAGATTCACCAGAGACAGTGGGGAGCAGAACAGACGGATCTACTGAAATACGCTGCTGAGGGGAGCAGCGGGTGAGACTGGGGAGTTCTGCTGCGCCATGTGGGTCACCTCCCTGGCCAGGAATCTAACTCTTGCTTGCTTCGGTGGCTGTGGATAGCTTCCTAGTACTGAGACTTAACCCCTTGTGCCACCAGGGGGGCCCCCCTTCATAGTTTTTGAAGACCCCGTTATAAGTGCTTTCCATACATTAATTTAGAATCCTCACGATGACTACAAGGTAAATATCTTGAAAATTTGCATTATTGCAAACAAGGAAACTGAGGCACAGAAGTTAAGTGATTTATCTGAAGTCATTAGTCAGGAAGTGGCCAAGCCTGGATTTGGTGCATAGTTCAGTTAACATTTGTGTAACCGTAGGATTGCAGAGAAGCCACTGTTAGGCATAGCTGCCTCCTTTTAAGGCGAAAAGGGGGGGGGGCCTCCAGACCCCATCCCCCATGCCCTCTCACTGTACTTTGATCTGAGACAAGTTTCAAAACAGTCTAGTGCTTCAGTCCCCTCTTTTGTGAAACCAGGAGAGACACTTGTACTTAGCGGAGCTGTGGGGAAGGATCTGGAACAGAGCAGGTGCTTCAGAACAGCAGCTCTTGTTTCAGCAGAAATATTGAGCCTGAAAATCAAAACACAGGCTACAAGTTTGAAGTCAAGTCCTACCAACGACCCTCCCCCCCAAGTGGTCTGGCTCCTGTTCTCATTCCCAACCTGGGAGGACTAATAATGGTTCCGTGAATTAGACTCAGAATCGGTAATTTTGTCAAGTGACCTTTGTACATTCCCCTCACTTTCCTGGTCTCGCTATCCAATCTGCAAAATCTCTAAAATATATTTGCTTGCAAGAAACAAGATTTGATTTGATGACCATACAGTGTTGTGGTTAAGGAATTTCATAGCTCTTTTTGGGAGACTTAGCAGACACTGTTGCTCATTTATAAACATTTGGATTCTGCCCCTGGTCAAAAAAAATTTTTTTTTCAAAAAAAAGTCTCTGAGGTTGCTGGTTTTTATGAAGTCTGCCCTTGCCATCCACGGGCCATCTGAAGTTCCTCCTTGGGCAGGAACTGGGCATAGCTGTGGGAACAGAGGAGACGGAGGGAGAGTCCTTAGACCCCAGGCGTTCTGCAGCAACCCTTGAACGTCATAAAATCCTGTGACAAGAGTGTGCTTTAAAAATAAGGTAAAATTAAAGTCCTATACGGATTAGAAATACCAAAATAATTGAGCCGGATCACCACCAAGAATTCCAGCCCGGGAACCGGAAAGCCATTTCTCCAAGCGCCCCTGGGGCGACTCCCTTGGGCGCGCAACCGCCTGGCCCGAGGCTAGGCCGACGCGGCGCTTTCGCTTGCGGCTCGGAAGCCGCAGCCGAGTGGAGGAAAAGCGGGTTCTGCACCCCCGGGCTCAGCTTCTCTCCCCTTTTGTCCTTCCTGCAGGGCTCCGGCTGCAGCGAGGAGGGCGCGAGCCTGCCTACGCCCTGCGCCCCCCGCCTCGGGGGCCCCACACCCCGCCGACGCCTCGCCCGTCTCCACCGCGCGCCGGCCGCGAGCGCTGACCTCCGGGTTTCGGTGGACACGGCCCCTGCTCCAGCAGCTCCCGCGGCGGCCGGAGTCCCGGCCCGGGCGTCTCCTGGGAGCCGGCCCCGAGGCTCGCCGCGTCCGGACCGCGCACGCACACAGCTCGGCGGGACCTGCCGTCCGTGACCCCTGGATTTGGGTGTCCGCTGCCGCGACAGCCCTTCGCCCGCGCGCGCTGCTGTCGCCGCCAGGGCCGCCCCCGGCGTCGCCGCGAGGCGCAGCCCGGCCCGCGCGCGCGGGGCGATGTACCAGAGCCTGGCCATGGCCGCCAGCCACGGCCCGCCGCCCGGGGCCTACGAGGCGGGCGGCGCGGGCGCCTTCATGCCCGGCGCGGGCGCCGCGTCCCCGCCGGTCTACGTGCCCACCCCGCGCGTGCCGCCCGCCGTGCTCGGCCTGCCCTACCTGCCCGGCGGCGCGGGCGCGGCGGCGGGCGCGGGCGCGGGGGCCGGCGCGGGGGCCGCCCCGTCGGGCGCGGGGCCGGGGCCGCAGCAGGGCAGCCCGGGCTGGAGCCAGGCGGGGGCCGAGGGCGCCGCCTACACGCCGCCGCCCGTGTCGCCCCGCTTCTCCTTCCCGGGGCCCGGTGGCTCCCTGGCCGCGGCCGCAGCCGCTGCCGCCCGGGAGGCCGCGGCCTACGGCGGGGGCGGCGCGGCGGCGGGCGCGGGCCTGGGCGGCCGTGAGCAGTACGGCCGCGCCGGCTTCGCGGGCTCCTACTCCGGCCCCTACCCCGCCTACATGGCCGACGTGGGCGCCACCTGGGCCGCGGCCGCCGCCTCCGCGGGCCCCTTCGACGGCCCCGTGCTGCACAGCCTGCCCGGCCGCGCCAACCCCGCCGCGCGGCACCCCAACCTCGGTGAGTCCTGCGGGGCGGGCGTGGGGCGCGGGGCGGGCGGTGGGGCGCGGCCGTGGGGCGCGGGGAGGCCGTGGGGCGGGCGGTGGGGCGCGGCCGTGGGGCGCGGGGAGGCCGTGGGGCGTGGGGCGCGGCCGTGGGGCGCGGGGCGGGCCGTGGGGTGCGGCCGTGGGGCGCGGGGAGGCCGTGGGGCGCGGGGCGGGCGGTGGGGCGCAGCCGTGGGGCGCGGGGAGGCCTTGGGGCGTGGGGCGCGGCCGTGGGGCGCGGGGCGGGCGGTGGGGCGCGGGGCGGCGTTGGAGACGCAGCCCGACCGCGCGAGGGCGGCGGCCCCGGCCCCACCGCCCGGGAGGGAGCCCGAGGGGCGGCGCCGCGCTGCGGGCCTCCGGGGCCGGCTGTTGCGGCGGCCGCCCGCAGGGGCCCCGCAGGGCGCCGATTACTTGGAGCTCGGCCGTTTGGCCGCCCAGTTGGGGGCCTCCCCGGGCGCGGATGAAGCCCTTCGGGGGCGCCGTCGGGCCCAGAGAAGGGCCGGAGCCCAGAGACGGTCGAACTGCGGCTGGGCCGGGCCGCGGGGTCGCTTCGTGCGGGTCGGCGGGAACCGGGTGTCCAGGGGCGCTGCCGAGCCCAGGCCTGTCGGTGTCGGGGCCCGCGGCAGCCCCGGGGCGCCCCTTCTCCTGCTGGCTTTCTGGGCGGCGGCGCAGCGGCTCTCCGGGGGCCGCGCCCTGAGGTGCCCCTGCCCGGCCCTCGGGTGCGTGAGCTCCAGTCTGAGCCCGGCCCGGGCCCGGCCGGGAAAGGGAAGTGAGGATCAATAGTCCAAAATGTGGGGAGCCTGGGCGGGGGCGAGAAGAAGGGCCGGTCGGCTGGGAGGGAGCAGGCCCTGGGGGGAGGGGAGCCGGCTGGAGAAGCAAAGTTAACATTTACTGACCACCTACTAAGTGCTAAATCCTTTCGTTTGTTCTCGCTTTGAAGAGTAAAGCCCAGCCCCCAGGTGTCCAGTGGGGGGGGGGGGGGGGCTGGCCTCTAGGAGGGACCCGCCTTTGAAGAGCTTTAAATTATCCTCAGGCCCTGGGTGGCCGAGGTGCCGGGGTCCAGCCAAATACACATCCCAGGTAAACTGATTAACCGTGGAAGTGGCGCCGGGCTGGGTCTGCGGCCCCTGGGCCCCCCTCCTCCTCGCGGGGGAGCCAGACGGCACCCCCGGGGCGGGGGCGGGTCGCTGGCTCCGGAGGCTCTGGGGCCGGCTGGGGCGAGATAGCGCTGCGCCCCACACAATGGCGCTCCAGGTGGGTGTGCTGGGGGAGGGGCGCTTGGCTCGGCCTGCTCCGAACTGTCTTGAGTTCTCTGGACCTCCCTAGAACGTGTGATTTGAAACCGTGAAGCTTGGTGCCCAGGGTTCCACTTTAGCGGGGGGATAGGGTGAGAGGCTGCTTCCCCAGCCCCCATAAGCCCGCAGTGAGAATTTGGTGCTGGGGGATGGGTAGTTCAGAATCCCCAGATGGAGAGGGTCGGGTCATCAGCGTCAGGAACACAACCGTGTTTTTAGAAATGCTGTGTGCGAACGCCCAGCAGGTGGTTAGGTCTAAAGTGTCACCCGCATCCAGAGGGAGGGTGCTGAAGTAAGCAGTGCGCCCAGATTCCAGAGTCGAGAGGGCAAGTGCAGCCTGTCTTGGGGCGCCCAGTTGAAGGCAGCCTGGCACCGGGTCAGGTGGGTCAGGTGGCTGCATGGCGGTGTCAGGGAAAAGGCTGTGTCCTCTCTGCAGGGTGTGAACTCAGGCCCGTGGGACTTGTTGGCAGCCCCATTCTCAGCCTGGTCTGCAGTGGTGCTCACGTGAGCGTGAGGAGAGTGAGTTCACAGTGCACACAAACGCGCCCCCCATGTGCCCCCGGCCCTGGGCCCTTGGGTCCCTGCGGAGGACCAGCGCCCGCCTGTCTGCTCACTCGGGCGGTAGAAACGTGATGATGCAGTTGCTGATCCCGGGTCTGTGAGAACGTGTTGCGTGAAGTTGCCCCCGGCCAGAGAGGACGGTGTGGGCCCACGTGGGCAAACCTGGCTTCGGTTCCAGGTGCCCTGTGACCCTGGGCAATCATTACCACTCTCGGTCTCCCCCCGTTTTGTGTAAATGGGATAATCATAACCACTTTCAACGCTGCCTTAAGTTAGAAGAGTTTGTGAAGACTTGATCTTTGGTCCCTCATCAGTGGGGGCTATTTTATTAGTCACTCACCATCTGTAACAGAGCGACAAGTTCTTCTGGCCTGCTCCAGGCAGGGCGGTTTCCCAGGACTCGAGCATTTTGGTGCTAAGCCTGAAACAGTTCTCAGCAGACCAGCTGTTAGGCTGGTCACCCTAAGAGGCTTGAAGGGGTGCGCAAGCCACTCGGTGTGGCAAGACAGTGAGCACAAAGAAGAGTGACAGGTGGGCTTCCTCCCTCTCTGAAAATCTGGAAGTCTCGCTGTGAGGGGGCCACCTGCATTTGGCCTTGAAGGGTGGGTAGGAGTTTGCCAGAACATGCACCTGCAGTTTAAAAAAAGAAAGGAACAGAGAAAACATGCCTCATTTATGGGCTTGCTCTGCAGTCCCGTGAAGCAGTATGATACAGCCTGGCCTGTGTAAATGACAGATCCATCGCCCCAGGCAAGAGCAGTCCCCATTCACTCAGAAACTTTTTAAGCCCAAATAGAATCTTTTTTTTTTTTTTAATAGAGGCATGTTTTATTTATTTATTTATTTATTTATTTTTTGCTTGTTTGTTTATACAAGCACTGGGTACAGTCAGAAGCACGGGAGGGTGAGAGAATTCACCAGAGCCAGAGCGGGGAGCAGAGCAGGCAGAAGGACCGAAGGACACTGCTGAGGGGAGCAGCGGGCGGCAGGAGAGGTCTGCGCGCCATGTGGGACCCTCCTCCGGTGGCCGGGGAGCAGCCGGGGATCGAACAGGCGCTGCAGAGGCCGCGAGCAGCTTCGCAACCCAGCGCTCAACCGCTGCGCCACCGGGGAGGCCCCCAAATAGAATCTTAATTACTAGAAAACCTGAGGGAGAAGAAAAGAGATTTTAACAATAGCATGTTGAGCCACCATTTTCATGGAGTGAAAATGTAATGCTTGAGAACTGTGTAATGCTTGAGAACTAACATTTATATCTACCGACATATGATCACTGCGAGGTAAAGATAAAACGGCAATCTCACCACCCCACAAAGCTCCCCTTGTGCCAGCTGTCACAGTCCCAGGGCAAGAGGCTTGAAGACTGAATCCTTGGTTTCCAGTCTCAATCCAGACAGCCCAGAGTCATAAAGGAAGAGACCCTGACACCAGAGTTTCATTTGTTCATTCATTCATTTGCATATAGAAACCCAGATGAAGGATCCCCAGTGGCGGTGGCGCAGGGGTTAAAGACAGCACTGTCAAGCTGTCTCCAGCCACTGCAGCACAAGTTCTATCCCTGGCCAGAGAGCTACCCATAGGGCGCAGCAGACCTCTCTTGTCTCCCCGCTGCTCCCCTCAGCAGGGGATCTCAGCCAGTTTGCCTGTTCTGCTCCCCACTCTGTCTCTGGTGAATCCTCTCACTCTCAGCCTCTCTGGCCTACACCCCAGTTCTTGTGTGCATAAGTAAGTGACTCTTAAAAAAAAAAAAAAACCACTCTGATGACGCCTACCTCTAGAACTGGAAATCTTCCATTTCAGCAAGAAGGAAGCGCACACCTTGTGTTTCTATGGGCTATTACCAGTGGTTAGTGTCCTGCCAGAGTTCTTAATACTGCTTGTTGGAATAAAGCAGGAATCAAAGAAACCGAGTGAATAGGGGCCGCTGCAAGACGCCACGCCGAGGTGAAAGGACTGATTCTTGCGTGACTGCGTGGACGTGAACTTTAAGTCATTCCAAGTTCAATATGTGCCATGACCCTGGAACCGCTGTTGAAATCGTCAATTAGGCACATTAATGGAATTCTGTGACCTTACTGAGGGTAGCGTGGCGTCTTACTCATATTTAAGTGCCTGGCACATGCCAGGCACTTAGCAAATATTTGAGTAGAGATCGAGGAGGCAATTGCCACAGTATTCCGCCCAGCCACACCAGAGGCCAGCGGAAGAGCCCAGGCAAGAGAGTGCACTCTGGGAGAGGGTTCTGAAACCTTGGGGAGCTCTGGGGATATTCTGGCTGGAGGTGTCGCAGGACAGGGCAGACGAAAGGGAGAGGGTGAGACGGTGTGCCAATAGCTGAGGCAAAGTCTGGCCCTTTCGCTTTGCGTTGCTGGGGCGAGCAGTGCCAGGCTGGGGGAGAAAACTTCCTGCCTGGGGTGGAGGCTGTGGAGTGGGCTGTGGCGCGTCTTGTCTTCCCGGAGCCCTGGGCGCCGGGACATCTCCCGGGCAGTCGAGTCAGAGGGAGAGCTGCCGGCCTCTGCGGCTGTCAGTGCTTGGATGCGTCCTCTTAAAATGGCAGCCTCCCTCCACCTGTACATGATACCACAGTAAAGTTGCTTCTTGCATCGATTAATGCGCGTCATTACGTGAGGCCAAAAGGGAGACTGAAGGGGAGATGCTGTGTACATGGGCCGGGAAGGAACTAGCGTGGGGGTCGGAGTTGCTGGAAGAGCAATGGAAACACGTTTTGTCAAGGAATAGCAGGGCTTTAATGGAGAGAAGTAAGTGATTATGCTATTTATAAAGGACGGATTAAAAAATAACAGCGCAGTGGCATATGTCTCAGTCCCTCAGTGTCACCCAGATGGCGCCCAGAGCGCCTGTAGGTCAGGGAAAGCGCTGAGGTGTTCTCTGGGCCTTGGGGGACTGCTTATCAATTAAGTCAGTGGCTTTCAGCGCCAGTCCATTTGTACAGGGGACTCTGGGAGGTCAGCTCTTAAGAAGCTTGTTTGGCCAGAGAACAATTTGTCGGTCATTGAGAAAAGCAGAGTTGTTTAACTTTCCGGTTACACCCTGAGCGGGGCGGTCAGAGCCAGGGCTGGTCTTGGGTGCTGGCTTAAGAGCCAATTAAATGGGGATGTTG